ACTTCCAGACGGAAAGCACAAGCTGCCCAGATTGTAACAGCCCCCAGAAGGCATGGGGTCCAAACCCGAATGCCTTCCATGGTTCTTCGGCCCCTCCTTTGCGCAACCCCTGCTCACACCTCCAGTGACGGGGAGCTTTTCCACACACCCAGTCCCCTTCTAGGAAATATGAAAAGTGTCTCTGCACTTTTGCTCCAGCCTCTGACTTCAGTCCCGAGCCCAGGAGCAGCAGACAGGGTCTGAATGTCCAGCAAAGGGAGAGGGTCCTAAGAAAGGAAGACCAGGGCCTACCCGCAATCAGGAGGGCCCTGGGCCCTGCCTGGTCTGTGAGCTTCCGAAACTCTTCCCTCCCCTGGATCCCACAGAGGTCTGCAGGGCAGGGCTGAGGTTGGGCTCCCAGCCTGGAAGAGGGGAGTTGGTAAGAGAGAGCAAGAGTGATACAGGAAGAAAGCAAATGAACGAGTGTATGTGAGAGAGGAGAGAATGCTAGACAAGGAGACAGAAGCGGACACAGAGGAAGTCTCAATAAACAGGGCATAAACAGACCGGTAACACTGGATGAGGTGCACCCCTAGACAGAAGACATGAGAAGAGACAGAGAGAAGACAGACTCCTCCAGAAAGAAGGATGAAGAGTCATGAGAGGAGCCCCTGCTAAATGCCCCCAAACTTCCCCATGGGAGTCTTGCTGGACTCGGCATCTCTTGTAGAGGACAGACCACTTCTGGGTTTTGGCTGCCCTTCCTGCACCTCCTCAGGCAGAGGGCAGTCCAGAGCCCAAAAGGCCGGGAATTCCACCTGCAATGTGCCCTCCACTGCCTAAAAAGAAGCTTCTGGCCCCCAGAGTCCACACTGGCGCTGGAATGGGCGGCTTTCTGAGCTAGTGAAAGGGATTCGCACTCGGCTGACCTCGGTGTGTTCAGGGCCTTTCAAACTCTGGGGGGATGAGGGGAGGGGGAGGTCGAGGGGACCTGAATGGGGGCGGAAGGGGGCCCCACCAGAGATCAAAGGCCCAGGAAGGAACAGAGGGTCTGGGGCTGCCCTTTCACCCATGGCCGCTATTCACAGCCCTGCCTGCTCTGCCAAGTCCAACTGCGCCACCACCTCCTCTGAGCCTTCCAGGGAGGGAGGCACTGCCTCGGGCTCTGTCCCCCTAGCCCAGCTGGATTCCTGAGGCCAACCCCCACCACCTTCTCCATGAAAGCTCTCAGGTCAGCCCAACTAAGAAATAAGAGGCTGCAAGCCACAGCTGGGCAGCACCCTAACCTGGCTCTCAGTGCCACCCACAAGCTTCCTGAGTAGCTCTGCGCTCTGGCCCTGTGCCAAGGGGCTGGGCTGGGACTAGAAACACCCCTATGTGATATGGCCGCTGGCCAGACAAGTCTATGTGAATGGCAGACTCAGAGTCAGGTTGAGGGGGGAGAAACAAGGAGGCAGAACCACTTCCAGACACAGGGAAGTTATTGAGACACTCCCCAGACTGTAACAGCCCTCAGAAGTCACGGAGTCCGAACCGGAATGCATTCTTGGCTCTTCTGCCCCTCCTTTGTCCAGCCCCTGCTCACATCTCCAAAGATGAGGAGCTCACTACTTTTCCAAAATAACACTTCTATCCTTGGTATAGGGTGGCTATTGCCTGAAAGCTGTTCCTTGCACGGAGCCATACTCTGCCTCCCTGTAGCTTCCTTTAACTTGCCCCAGTTGCCCTCGGGGTCCCCAGGGACCTAATCTGTTGCCTCTTCCACAGAACAGTTCATCTGAGACTTGGACACAGTGGCCACATCCCCAAGGCTTGTCTTGGAGGCAAACGTCCTGGGGGGAATCCTAGGATCTCTAGACTGAAAGAGCACTCGGCAATCCCGTGGTCTAACAGTGTTCTCATTTTTTTGTTTTTGCTACAGAACTCTTTACTCAGAGTTTTCTGTGGAAGCCCCAAATATCAAACAGAAGCACTCCCAGTTAAGACTCGCTACGCATACACCCTCCTCACTAATTGTGAACCCTCTACAGACATGTGGCTTATCCATCACACCAAGGAGCATTTATTGAGCACCTCCTATGTGCCATAACACTTGTATTCAAGCCATGTTATCCAATACAGTATCCACTAGCCACATGTGTCTATTGAGCACTTAAAATGTGGTTAGTGCAATTGAGTAATTAAATTTCTAATTTAACCATAGAATCACTGGAAAATATTTCTCTCTCAATAAAGTGCCACTTCCTCTAAGAAGCATTTCCAGATCTTTTTGATCACAGTCAGCCCCTCCTGCCTTGCGCTCCCCTCTGATGCCACCCTCCCCTCACATATCACCTTACACACTGCCCACTGAAGGGACCTGGGGCTTGCCAGTCAAGCACACCAACCTGTGAGCTCTAGAGGGCAGGCCCTCTATTAGTGGACTCTATAATCACCCACCCCTGCCCTGAAGCCTGGGCAGAAGAATGGCACCAGGAAATGCCCACAGGACAAAACCCAAATCCAAGTTAGAGATGCCTTTGAGTCAGAGCTGAACCAGTGACTCTGCTTTGCCCAGCCCCAGTCACCCCATCTGAGAAATGAGGGTGAGAACACTCAGTAGTCTTCCTCTTGCCCTCTAATGCCTCTTTTACCCCATCACCCTTCCCCCAGTCTGCTGAGGTCTCCTGAGAAAAATGGTGCCATAGTCTGCTGTCCCAATGGGCCAGCCTTCCAGGGCACCCGGAAATTCCCCTGTGTTTCCCCAGTGGCTGGTTCTTACTTGCTCACTGCACTCTGACCATGCCCTTCTGCTGGCAACTCTAGGTAGCGTTCCTTCCAGACAGCCTCTTGATGTAAGCAAGGGTGCTTCTGCCCCACCCCTCTACTCCACCAGAAACACTCTCTGTTACGCAGGGCAGGGAGGCGGTGCTCTGGTTGCTGCTTGGGTTTCCCATTTTTCCCAATCCTTAAGCTTCTGAGACCATCAATCATTCTCCCTTAGCCCCCAGACCACAGACTGGATCACCTCCCAAGTCTTCCTGGGGATCAGGGCTCAGTTACGAATTTCAAAACTGGGAGGATCTCAAAGATCATCCAATCCGGCACCTGAGTCCTAATACTGTTGTACAGCAACCCAGCAAGTAGCCACCTAGGCCTAGGCTCTACTTACATAGCTCTAGTGACAGGGTACTCACTATCTCTCTAGACCTGCCCTAGACCATTCTCATATTTACAAAGTCCTTTTTTATATTATACTGAGTGGAAATCTCTTCTGCATCTGCCCCACACTGGCCTCGGAGGCCACACAGCAGTCTCATTGCTCTTGCCCCCACGCCAACCCTCCAAATATCTGAAGGAAGCAATCCAGTTCTGCTCATTCTCCTCTTTGTCCCAAAATATCATTCAAGCTTTGAGGCATTTTCCAGATCCCCCTTCATCCAGGCTACACCCATCTGGACACATCCTAATTTGTCATTGTCCCTATTAAAGGTCAATACCCCAAACGGGCCACAGTCCTCAGGAATGATCCGACCGGCACAGAGCAGTCTACACTAACCACAAGCTGACCATTCAACATCTTTTCAAGCAGCTTGAGAGGCTGCTTGAAAACAGCGACCACTGGTCAGAGACTGAAAGTCAGTACAGCCCTCCACAAACACCATAAAGCAATCCCCCTCAAGACCTGTCTATTTGGCAGTAAACGTCAAACTAGATTTTTTTTTTTCTTTCTCTAAAAACCTCTGCCTGGCTCCCTCAGCCTCCAAGGGAGCTGTACCCTCTGGCCACTCCATTGTGATCAAACGCAGCCAAGCCCCAGCTTGGGCACTTCTGCTTCCAGTCCAGGGGACAAAAGGAGAAAAGGTGACACCACCAGCCCCATAAACCTGCAGAGATGGTAGGCCCACTGCCTCCTGCACAGCCACTCGCTGAGTTAAAGACCCCTGCCATTGGCTCTGAGTGTCAGGAACAGGGCAAAGAGGTGAGGCAGGTTCCCAAAGCTGTGCCTCATCCCCATGCACCCCACAGCTCCCAACGGAGGCCACGGGCCCAGCTTCTTCAACACCCGGGACACACAGACCACAGGCCAATCCACTGCCGGGCGGACTCAATTTTCTAGTTACAGATCTTAAGTACTCAGGCCTGTGCTCACCAGAACATACATCCCTTACAGGGAGCTGAGAATGGGAATTGTGCCGAGGAACAGAATAATTGAATCAAGATTTCTGTCACGCTGCTCTCAGGCCCTCGACCAAGGCCTTTTTTTTTTTTTTTTTTTTTTTCTTTCCTGACTAAGGTTTTACAGACTCCCAGGAGGTCACTTTTCCTCTCAAACTCATTAATGTCAGAGGCACTGGCAGCCCATCCAGGGGAAAGGAGCACCGGGTTAAGGTGGGCCAGTGTCCAGGATGGGGCAGCCAGCTCTAGAAGCCCCAGCTGGAACCACTGAGGGGTTGAGAAACACCAACAAGAAGATTGTCATCTTTGTAATCCCCAGAAGGCCCCTGCATGCCTTTCTTCCAGGCCCCAGGGCAGAGATGAGATGATTATTAACTTCCTCAGCCCCCACCATCACCCCCTCTGGAGACCTTTTCCTGAGAGAGATGTGCACAGCCCGCCCCCTGACCCCCCCACCGCAGGGGTGCCCCGCTCAATGCAGGACACCCAGCCCGTCCCTCTCCTCCAGGGCTCCTTCACAAAGGGGACACCGGTGTTGAGCTCATACGCTCCACACCCTGCATTGTGTCTGTATGCACATGGTCTTCTTACAGGCCCTAAAGCTCAGGCCAAATACACCTTTCTCCACTCAAGGGGTAAAGATGGGGGAGGCCAGAGAAGAGTCCACAGCCCCAGCCAGCTCCGTGTCTGCTCCTCCCCATGTCTCCTTGTCCAGGGAAGGGAATGGGCCTGGGTGGGGGACCTTCGGTGCTCTGCAGGTAAGGGGGTGCTCAGCGAGCATCTCTGCTTCCACCCCTGAGTGAGCGCCCTGAAGCAGGTCCCGTCAGGTCCGTCCCAGACCGGACTGTGCCCACATCTCTTACCTTCATCTCTCTTACGCTTGTTGGTGTCAGCGCTGGGAGAGGTGATGCCCAGGATGCCGCTGATGGAGTACGAAGAGCCAGCGGAGTCCGTGCTCACCGAGGACACCTGCGTCACGGAGCCCGTGGACACTGCGCAGAGGGAAAGGGGCTGTCAGGGCCCGGCAGGAGGCTGGGGGGATGCGCCCCCATACAGAGGGAGCGGAAGCAGAGGGCCAGCACAAAGGCATTCGCTCTGCACTGGGCTGGGTGTGACGACTGAGCAAGGGAGTAGAAGTGCAGGGACGGGAAAGAGAGTATGTGCCGAAGCCATTTGTCCTATAGCAGTGGCCACACCTGGGTGACTAAGGCAGGCGGCCTTTGGGCCACTTGCCCAGGTTCTGTGCTGCTGGGGAAGGTGACGGGGGAAGGTAGGCAGTGAGGAGGGCTGACAGTGCAGAAAGGAGCAAGGGACAGTGTAAGAAGGGCACTAGCTCAAATCCCAGTCTGTCCAAGGATACAGGGAGCAGGGAGACGGGAAAGAGGGGAGCTGGGGCTCACCGCCAGCCAGTGCTAAAAAAGACCCAGGCTTTCTCATTAGGCAGGATCACTCCCTGCTTACATACCCGCCCATCCATGCAGACACAAGTACCTGCACACTCACACACAGAGCCAACAAAGCTCCAAATGGCAGGCTATCCCTTCTTTTTAAAGTTCCTCACTGTCTTTTCTCCTTCCGGTTTACCTGGATTTCAATATTAATTACATAATATTGATATAGTATTATAAATAATATATAATGATATAGATACATATAATAACGATAACTAACATTAACTAACATAACTAACATAAGAAGCCCTTGAGAACTTACTCTGTGCCAGGCATTGAGGCATTTTCTCATTTAATTCTGAGAATAATCTTAGAGGCTAGCTCATTTATTATCTCATTGAAAAGGTAAAGGAACCAAGGCTCAGAGAAAGGAAGTGACTTGCCCAAGGTCACACATCTAATAAGAGGCAGAGCAGTGACTGGAACCCAGAAAGTAGTCTTAACCCCTAAAGTAATCTGCTGTTCGCTAATTAATAATGAAAATCAATAATATGCTTCATATAATACAGTGCTTTTCATTTGATACTTGCAACAACCTAAAGTGCTATTATTTATCCCTATTTAGCAAGTGAAGAAACTGAGGCTTCACAAATGTGAAGTGATTTGCTCCAAGTCACCTAGCCAACATGCAGTAGCACCATGACTCAGCCGTGCATCTACTGACTGAAAGTCTAGATCTCTCCCACCCAGAAATGTAGGCAGAAGTCAGCAACTTGTTGAGACTGAAGCCAGATCTCTGAGTTCTTGAGGATAAGAATGGAGGAGGGGAGGTTTTATGCAAGTTTTGCATTAACTCCTGGCCCCAGAGTCCAAGAGAGAGGCCAGCCAGTCAGTCACCAGGGTCCTCTCAAGCTGTACAGCTGAATTTCCATTTCTGGGCTGTGGGAATTCTTTCTTGGTTCATTAAAACCTACAAACCAATCTCAGACACATTTCCTTGGGCTATAACTAGCTGGAGGCAGGTGGAGCTGCCTTTGACTGGACCGGGTAGGAAATTACTAGAAATGGTGGCGATTGTGTGAGAAGCTGTTTGTTGCTTTCCTTGGAGCACATCCAGCTCTCACTCCTGCAGACCTAGAGGGAACAGCGCCTTTCTTCTCTGATTTTGATTTTAGATCTTCTTTAGGAGACACAGAAGTAGAAATCGTTAACTTCTCTTTTCTTTCCCCAGAATAAGCTACTCAGAATAGATTTATGCAAATCTCACAACCTTTTCTGTATTAAGGTGCAAAGAACAGAGGAAGAAGGAAGACCACAAGTCATTTGGTACTTTAAACAACAACTACATATAACCAAGGCTCACCATGTTGCTAACAGAGCCGATGAGATTAGTTCCAATATTTTGTGATTACACTAGACTCAAAAGACCCAGGTTCCGATTCTTGCACCACCACTTACTGGCAATGTGACCTTGGGCTGGTTATTTATTCTCTCTAAGCCTCCCTTTCCTCACTCCTCATTAAGTTTATAAACTATAAGGGGCTGTACACATATAAGATACAGTTTCTACAAAAATTTTGGACACAATACAAAGCATTCTGCTAACCTACAAGTACTATAGAATTATTCCTCTAACACAATTGAAAGAATATTATCAGTTACTCTTAGTTTGACATTCATTGCTGTGACCCGAAATAATTAAAAAGCCACACAAGTGAAATCTCAGCCACAAACATTTCCCCAAGAGCTTTTTTCAGTTTTCTTGGTCCCAGCTCAACAAAGCTGGTGGCTCCCTCCCTTTGGACACAACACCCTGAACTTTCTTCTTGAGTTGCATCTCAGTGCTCTGCAAACTTCTCTTTGTCACATTTCCCCGTTAGACTGAGAAGCCCCTGAGAATGGGGATTCTGTCCTGCCTCCTAATTAAAAAAGCAGTCTCCAGTGCCAAGGTCTGCATAGCAGGCGCTTATGCTTATGCTTTTTGAATTGATTAGTAAATGAAGAATGACTTTATGGCAGGGAGGAACTCTGTCTTACCTCCATCCAAAGAGGCAACCATGGAGGATCAGAGACCTCAAAGAGCACCTGCTTTGTGCAACTCAGTCCACAAATGGGGAAACTAAGACTCCAAAAAGTGAAGGGACTTACACAGTTTGCTGGGTGAGTTCACGACAGAGCTGGAACTCTAAGCCAGGCCTCTGCCTGTCCCCCATGACCACAGGGAGTTCAAATTTTCAGTTAAAGAAGGACAAAGGTGTGGAAGCAGTACAGAATCTGAGGTATGATTAAGCATAATTGGCAGGGACTGTGGCAACCCGAACTGTCAGAGGCTTGCTGAATGGTTGCCCACTTTCTAACAGTAGAATAACCTTCCCCCAGCTAACCAGAGGGGTCTCCTTTATCCCAAGTGGGGAAATAGTATGCATTAATTAGACGCATGTCTTTGCAGAGGAGGGAAGGCCAAAGGAAACTTCTGAACTCTTGAGTATAGTTGACCTGAGAACAGCATGAGCTTGAACAGTGCATGTCCACTTAAACATGGATTTTTTTCAATAGATATACAGACAGCCCGCCGCATCCCCTGGTTTTACATCTACAGATTCCACCAACTAACCACAGCTGGGAGCCTGTGGATGCATAGGACCTACTATATGCATTGTTCTGTGCCATTTTATATAAGGGGCTTGAGCATCGCAGATTTTGGTATCTGTAGGGGTCCCGGAACCAACCCACTGTGGATGTTGAAGGACAGTGAAGTTTGGGGGCAGTCAAAAGTTATACTCAGATTTTTTACCGTGGAAGGGGGGTGGGGAGGTAGTATGCCTCCCCTAACCCCCATGTTGTTCAAAGGTCAACTAGTAGGAAATATGACTCCCATTCTTACGAGTCATGGTCACTGTTAGACTTCACCCATGAGTGTCAGAAACTTCACTGACAGCCTTCGAAAGTTTACAGAGTTCCTGAGATCAAAGCGAGAGAGAGGTAAAGTTTGAGAAGTTTTGCCACATTTTCACTCAAGACTGCAAGTGCACAAAGAATTGTAGAAGGGCTCGTTGATAGAAGAAAAAACACATTCAAAACTACTTACTGACTAATGATGCAGAAAATGTTATGAATAAGTACCCCTTTCTTGATTTATTACTTTAATTATCTGACATTCTATAGACCCCCATTAGTGGATTTTTTTTTTTTTGGCTTAGATTTCAATTTTCTGTCTCATGCTGAAAGCTATTTATCATAATAATCAGTAAAATTCAAAACCTTTTAGCAGTATTTATAAAATTCATTTACCGGGTTCAGCCCTTGGAGAATGACAAAGAAGGCGCATTAGTACGTGTGCCGAAGTGTTTTATGCAGAATTATCTGTCCATAAGAATGATTAAAAGTTCTTTAGAATATTTGGAGCCCATTTGATTTTTAAATTTTTTTAAAGTTCTTACCAATGCTGTGACTGGAAGCTGGGACTGGCTGGTTGGGTGGCTGCTGTACTTTTGTCCGGATGATCCTGTGGGCAGTGGGAAAAAATTAATAGCTATTTACCATAACAGAAAAGATATCTCAACTAGCTATACACGGACAACCAGAAAACCCATATCAAGCTGGGTCATAGCTCAAGCTGGGGCAGAGGGGAGGGGAGATTATAAACCCAGGTTAGAAGTTAGGGGTTTGGAAGAATAATGGACTAGTCCCAACTCAGCCCCCACCTCCCTGGGTGTCTTTGGGTAACTTGTACCATTCTCTGGGCCTCAAGTGCCTCTTGTATAGAAAAGGACAGTGTGCTAATGTTATGAAGGCATCCCTTTCTGGAAACAGCTCTAGCTCCATAAATTCACTGAGAGACATTAGGGAGTTCCTTCCCTTCCCTGGACCTCAGCCCCCTGTCTGCAGAATGAAGGGACTGGCCAAGGTGACCTCTCTGTCTCATGGAAGCCTTCAAGCTCTTGTTTCTCTACTTTAGAGAGCCACAGAAGTAACATCCCCACCCATCAAAAGAGGATGTGAGTTGCTCTGAAACTAGAAAGGGTTAAAGTGCTGGCAAGAGAAGCTTGGCTTGGTTTGGCTTCGCTAAGTCCGCAAAAACCTGGTGGAAAAGCTTCTTCATGGAGCTGGGAGCCAGGGGTATACTGCCTTTTCTTTCCAGGAACTTTGATTTAGTTCTAATAGGAACCTGATTATGACCCTGGGCAAGTCGGTTCCATCATGGGCCTCAATGCAGTGAAGGAGCTAGAATACAGCACTCTGCTTACTTGAAGTAATTGAATCCTTCTCTCTCTCTCTCTCTCTCTCTCTCTCTCACGCACACACACGCACACACACACACAAACTGCTATGGGAAAGTCCAGTGTAGAAAAGGGATAATAGCGGTTCGGTCTTTCCTTTGCCACCTGGCAACTCTGATATCCTTATGCAGAACCTTGGGCTCTGGGAAGCTTACTTTGCAAATTTCCAGCTGGGACAACACATGGGGCCTCCATGAGACCCCAAGCTCTTTGTGTCAACCAGGGCCAAGCTAAAAAGTTCCTTTGGGGTCCGCAAGGAAGTTCCATGTGGGAGAAAACATGGATGGTAATAAAATGTTCAGCTTCTTTGGGAAAAGTTCTATTTGAGTCTCCAAGTACTCTCTTTTAAAAGAACATTAATTAGAGTTTTTCTTAATCATAAAAGTACTTTGCGCTCACTGTAGACCATTCGGACAACTTTAAAGAAGACAGCTAAAACCACATTTTGGTGTACAGTTGACCCTTAAACAACATGGGTTTTTGTTCAAGTGGAAATGTATATGTCCACTTACACAAAAATTTTTTCAATAACTATATGGTCAACCCTCAGTATCTCCACTTGGCATCCACAGATTCAACCAACTGCCAATCAAAAACGGTATTTTCATTCTGAGGTTGGGAATCTGCAGACTATTGCATTGTTCTATCCCATCTTATATGAGGGAATTGGGCACTCAGGATTTTGGTATCCACAGAGGTCCTAGAACCAATCTTTTGTTGACACCGAGGGACAACTATAGTTAAGTTTCTAGAGAATTAAAAGTTATATACAGATTTTCGACTGCTCAGGGGTCAGCACCCATAATTCCTGCATTGTTCAGAGGCCATCTATATTTCCTATACGCAAGCACTCCTGTGCGTATTTGGAAATATCCATTTTTTCATAAGAGAATCAAGATTAAATCATGTATGCAGTTTTGTGTCCTTCTCTTTTCAGTCAACATTATAGGAAAAAACTTTTTCACATTCCAGACCATTATTTCCGGAGGTTCGTTTCAAGCTGCACTGGGTCCCCATCTTGAGCAAATGGAAAGGAAAGACAGAAGTGGGAGGTGCCTCCACTTAACCTCCCCGAGCTGTTGCCACCGTCTGTGGTCTCACAGCCCAGCACTGGGCACCAAGGGTGCTCGGCATCCTCGGCTGGGAGCCTGGACTGAACGTTTCTGTTCACGCTGCAGCCCAACCACAAGCCCTCTGGAGCGCAGGCCACGTGAGCCTCCATAGCCTTCAGCCCTTTTTTAACAAGTCAGCATGAGTATTGCCTCAAATATATTCAGAGTGTTTGTTTTGTTTTCTTCAATATTTAAACCACTTATTTTCACTAAGCAAACATGCAACATATTGACAAAAACCTGGAAGGGAAGTAGTCTTTTTGATCCGCTGGAATTAAGCTAGCATCTGATCTAATCTTTACATTTTGTCTATGTCATCTTCTGTGTGTGTGTGTGTGTGTGTGTGTGTGTGTGTTTAAAGAGATATTGCTATGTGAACATATGACTATACCAGATGGAAATAGAGTTTATCTATATACAAATATATGGTAAAATACATCATAACCATTTCACATTGAAATCTAGCATAAAGTTTGAACTCTAAAGCATTGGCTAGCCATTAAATTTGTACATATGCAAGGAAAAGAAAATTATGATTTTCTTATTTTTTTAAATATGTATAAATCATTCATGAAATATTATCCATTGTTATAAACCATTGAGAGGCAGCTACAACATAATGATTAAGTATACAGGTTCCAGAACCAGACTGGAGTTTGAATCCTAGTCTTGCCATTTGCCAGGTGCATGACTCTGGATAAATAACTTAATCCTTCTATACCTCAGTTTCTTCATCTGTAAAATGGAACCAAGATTCATTCCTACCTCAAAAGGTTATTATGAGGATTAAGTTAATAATTAAGTACTTAGTGCTGAGGCTTTTGCATAGTTAAGTGCTCAATAAATGTTAGCTTGTATTATTAGTAGATCTTCATAAAGATTAATGACCAGCTTCAACCTTAAAAGGTTCATATTTCCAAAAATGATTTAAAAACACATGGGATCCCAATGGGAGCTGGGGAGGAAGATAAAGCAGCCATCCCCATAGCTGAGCAAGGTTGAAACAGGGCTCTCCTCTACGGGCAAGACCCGAATTGTAGGAAACCCTCCAAAAGTGTCCCCAGGGGTAGAAGTTGTGCCCATCTGCTTGCAGCAGCTGCCAAGAAAAGGACAAAGAGCATCGTCTCCACTGAGAAGAAATAACAGGGGCAACAACAAGACTAATTGAATCATAGCAATTCTAAAAAAATAAAAAATAAAAAAATAACAAGCAACATTCAGTCTTGTCACAATAAGAGCCACCCTCAGGACCTTTTCTAAACAAGAGACAGTGAGGGCTAATTGGCAGCTCATACTGACAGGTACAGCCTTCACTTTGCTGAGCGTGAGCATGATCCTGGGTGCCACGTGAATATCCTGCAATACAGGATCCAACAGAGGAGAGGGCTCAGCAATCAACTAGTCCTGAGGAGTGAGAAAGCCAGGATCCAGAGTGCGCAAGTGACTTGCCCAGAATTACACAGCTAGTCAGTTCCCATGCCTGAACACTTTCTGTTTTTGTTTTTGTTTTTGTTTTTAGTCACATTCAAAGGAAGTGTTGCCTCTGCTAAATACTTGCTGTATGAAGCATAAAACCTATTTGGAGTCAAAATCCATTTAGAATCTGAGAATTAAAAGCCCGAGGAACTTTAGATATTACAGGTATTTGTAAGGATACCATTTCAACGTCACCCCTACTCTTCTGAAATGCTAGGCCTTCTCATCACCGCCAACCCCTCACCCCCTCCCCGCCCACATACACACACAAAACTACATTGAAAGAAAAAGTCATGACTCCTTAAAAAAGGGCACAGGGAGAGAGAAATAAAATACTCATGTCTACTGCACTGATCAAACTGCCATTGGCACAGTAAAAATATTTGGCCATTAGTTGTGCTAAGAAACCAAAAGCCAGGGTCCACTGGCCAGGTTGGGAGAGGGCCCACAGGTGACATGCAGGCCTGTGACTGACGTGGACAGGAAGAGGGAGGGAGTGGGTGAACAGTCTCGGAAGCTTGCTGCGCAAGTTAAGATTAAGAGCAGGCTTTACAAACTGTTATCCTCAGGCCACATCTCCGACTGGACAATTTTTGTTTGGTCTGTACAATATATTTATTTTTATTTGAATTAGTTGCCAATGTTTCTAAGTTAGGAGCTTTTACACAAATACATGGATTTCTAGCTTCTTTTGAAAAAAACAGAACCCCTGGCAATGCTGGCCCCACATTCTCACATGGCAACAACCAGTTGGTGTTAACGGAGCTGCCCCTCTAAACTGGGAACGCCATCCAAGGTTCCCCACCACGTGGCCCCTGACTCAGAACCACGGGACTGGAATAGAAGATGGAAGAGTCCATTTCTCCCAACATCTGGGCCACCTCTGGGACAGTCAGCTCCCCTGGACACTCAGGCTGAATTCTAAGACGCCATCAAGCAGCTTGTGAAGCAGCTCAGCATGCATTTGTCCTTAAGGAGCAACATCAACATGATCGTTTGTGTTCTGGGAAATCTCCCATAAGCTTAGCAGAGCTGGTTCAGTGCTGTTTAACCCCATGCCAGTCATGGTTCCCCAGGCTGGTTCCCCAGAAGACAGAGGGAAAGCACACACTTCTAGGGGTGGACAGTGAAAATGACCCTGTGGCCACCAGAAGAGCTCAAAATCCAGCCACCACTCCCTCCCTAGCTGTCTGAAGTGTGGGAATAGTGAGAAGCTGCCTCCAACGGAGGCAGGGGTTGAGAGAGGGAGGACTCTTTTACACAAAGACATTTGCAAGACAGTTATTTAGAAGTTGTATCCGTTTGAGTGCAGTGGGAGCTTTGCCTTCCTAGAGAGAGTAAAACCATGCTGGCACGGCTCAGGCTTTCTTGGCGGAGGGAGGACAGAGCGCAGCAATAGGAGATTGTCCCACACTTAATTTGCATTGCAGGGTCAATTGTAAAAAACACCAGAGAACTCTCGCTGACGAATGTGGTGAGGAGCAGAGAGTGCTCTTGGAGAGGAGCCCCCATTGAGGAGCACAAGGGAAGGGGCCACGAATAGCAGAAGAAGCCTGCACACAGGCAGCAAAACATGCAGGCTGCCAGGCTCAGAGAGGAAGGAGGAATGGCTTTGTACCCCTCGCCTCTCTCTCATAGATCCTCAGTTCTGTCACTGGCAGAGTCCAACAGAGCAGTGGTGGAAAGAGACAAACCCTCCTCTTACCATCGGGGGCCCAGGCCCAGTTCCCTTCTCTATGTCAAAATCACTGTTCTTCTGCATTCCCCTTTTGGGCCTCAGTTTTTATGCCTGTCACAGGATCGATTTAGGTTTTGAGAGCTGTAGAAGACCACACATGTGAAAGCACCTTAGAGGCACAACGAGCTGGGTCACCAGTTTGGATTAGGACACTCAGGCGGCCCCTGAGACTAGCTGAGGTGCCAGCACCCAGCAGCCAGAGCCCCGCCCCCACCCCAGCGCAACACAGCTCTAGGCACAAATCATCAGCTGAACCATGATTTCTGTAAACACCCAATCAAGTACCCCCTTCCTAGCGTCTGCCACATCTGTATCATCGTTCTCTACTTTGTGTGTTTCCTTCAAATAACTTACTTCTTCACTTTAATAGGTAATATTCATTCTTTACTATAAATGGCGCAGGGGAGTTCATGAAGTTCACACTCACTGGTTTGGTGTGCTAGTTATGTATTTCTAAAATACATTCAAACCAATTCATCACAAAACGGTTTTCCTCCTCGTGTTACAGAGGATAGAAGCTGGAGCCCTGCAACTAAGTTATGCTTGTCCTGCAAGGCATTTTTTGCATGGAAATTAGTTACCACTGTTTAAAAATAGAGAGATTTCATATATACAAGCATACGTATGCACACGTACACGCAAGTCCTAGTTTCTAGCTTCCCTTTAAGAATGGAAAAAGGTTGGCAAACACTGGGCTCACGTTTCTGGCAGCGCTCAGCTGGAGCTGAGAAGCAACAGCCCCTCCGTAGGCCTCGTCCTGTCTAGTTTGCCGCAGACCCAATGTTTCCCTATCATTTCATGCCCGTCCTGCTTCGCTTGTTACATTATCTGTCTGGCCTACATAGGCGTTAGAGTTTAGGACCCCCACAAGCAACCTAGAGTTATTTTTCGATCCACCAATTTCACTTCTACCCTACACTGGGAAATCTTTGGGCCCCCAAAGCCTGATCACGGGTTTAGCAGGGTTCATCTGCACAGCAGGCTGACTGCTCCTTCACTGCTCTGGGCAGTATGTGCCTCATTTCACGTTAGGGCTTTTGGAAACCCAGAAAAAAACATCATGTTGCTTTGTGTCATGGAAATCCTGCAACAAGCCAAAAGCAGGGGACTCACAAAGCACCTTGAAGCCCCTCATAATCCAGAAAAAGAACAGGAGTTGTTCTTCCTGAGCCCACCACGATAGCTGTCATATTGTACATAACTCAGGCTGCCCAGACTTCTACGTACACGCCAGAATCCCAGTCTGAACAAGGAGCCCCTCTAGAACAAAGACTAAGAAACTGTGTTTCTGATTCCCCTCTCTCTTCTCAGTACCTTGTATGATGTCAGGGCCAAGGTTTACTGAGAAAAGAAAAATAGGGTAATGGTTTATGAAATACCAGGGCTCAAAACATTAGTACACATTCACACAGCGGTTCTGTGACTTGAGTCACTACAGGAGGAATAGTGGTCAGATCAGAGAGAATCTCAGAGACATTCTAGTAAGATCGCTCTTTCTCGTGGGTGTGAAGGGTTCCCTGGTCCACACAGGTTCAGCATTGACAAGGGTAGGGCATAACCTTGAAGAAACAGGAACTGCTCGAGTTTTCAGTCTGCTGCTTCCTTTCTTTTTTTCTTTTTCTTTTTTTTTTTTTTTTTTTTTGTGTGTGTGTGGAGTTTATAGAACAGTCATTTCTGTTTATCTCACAACTTCATCCCTGACTCTGTGGGTTTAAGTAGAGTTCAGACTGTACCACCTACAGTGGAAAACTTTCTTTCAGGAATTTATTTTTAAAGCTCTGAGAGCTCTGCTAGGTATAGCCTGGATCCGACTGGAGAGGAGAAGGAGCCACTGTGGCTCCCAGGAAGATCCAGAGCACAGCACTCACGGTGTTTCTCTGCTTCTTACTGTTGGTGGGTAAGATTTGGGGCACCTGGGGAGAGAGCAACTCTCTAACTCCACAGCATCTTAGCACCCAGAATATTACTCTTGGAGATCACAGACCCACATTGGAACCACCAGGGCCCTGGGCTCAAAGAGAGGAAGGGCCCTGTCAAGCTCACACTTTGAGTTTGGGGCAGACTGAGACAAGGAATTAAATCTCCCAACTCCAAGTCAAGGCTCTGTTCCCTATACTCAATGGCTCAACCTCTGCCCGAACCAGATGCAGGGATTTTCTTCCTGGGAAATTCTGAAACGAGCCAAGGCTAAGACTTTCAGCCTGGGCTTACAAGGATGAGTGAGACATTTGAAGGCTTAATCAGGACAATTCACTGTTAAGTGCTTCATACACAGAGCAGGGTAGTAAAGAGAATGATAGAAATCACTCTAGACTCAGAAGAATCTCAGAGAGCCAGAGGGTTGGCATGGCCTTCTCTTCTTGAGGCTAGAACTCCTGCCCACTTTGGAGAGGAAAGGGCACTCGAGAGACCCACCTGGCCCCACGAGCATCTCTCTGGTCTAAGGGCCCCTAAGGGGCCTCGGCGAGAGGAAAGACCAGATCTTCAGAAAAGGTACACGCAGAGCTCCCAGAATGCCCCACTCCACCCAGCTCCCTAGCCCCCCACAGGCAGCAGCCTCTCACCTGTTGATGGAACTGACGCTGGGCACCGTGTCATTGTCACACACTCGTTCTGACAGCAGTCGGTCCCTGATCTCCCAGGCAAACATAGTGGGATTTTGGCGTTTATATTCAGCTATTTTTTCCACCACTTTGGGGGTGGCAACCTTTGGTTTGGATCCTCCAATTACCCCAGGCTTGATGCTCCCCGTCTCATAATACCTAAGACCAAGGAGAAAGGAGCTTAGCCATGAGGAACAGCAAAATTTCGGCAACAAAAAAACAGGCTACTCTGTCCAGAAAAGGTTCAGATCTGTGCTGTCCAATGAAGTAGTCACTAGCCATACGTGGCTTCTGAACATCTGCAATGTGGTTCATTGGTACATGCTGTAAACTTAATACATACCAGATTTTCAAAGTACAAAAAATGTAAACTATCTTATTAATAATTTTTATATTAGTTTTATTTTGAAATGATTTTTTTAATACACTGGGTTAAATAAAATATATAATTAAAGTTAGTTGTATCTGGTTTTTTTCTTTTTTAAATGTGTTATTAGAAAATTTTTAATTTCATATGTGACATTATATTTCTATTGGACAGTGTTGCTCAGGATACTATGCATTCATTTATTCCTTTATATTTATCTACCATTTTATGGTTTACGGAACACTTTCAAGTCAATTTTCCCATTTGATCCCTACAACAGTTCTAAAGCACATGAATGTTTTGAATAAGTGAATAAATAAGTGAATGGGTCCCTATCTATAGTATAAAACAGAGATCCAGAGAGGTTAAATGGATTGCTCATGGTCACAAAAAACCCATTGGCCAAACCAGTACTGTGGCCCAGCCTCCTGAGCTACAATTTCCCCAGAGAGTGGCTTGTGCCTTTAATCTACCACCTTTCCCATCCCCCTAGGAGATTCGTCTGTCTTCTGTAAAACTGTCCCCTAAAATGCAACTTATTTTTTCAAAAGAAAAAAAAAACCCACAATAACCCTGGTGTAAAATGCAAGGGAGTGTTGGATTTCAGAATTAACTGGAAATATAGGTCAAAACCCAAGCAATCAAAAAAACACCATCCACAAGTCACGGCAGCTCTTTCAGGCACCTCCCCTGAGGTAAATCGCTGTTTCTAAGGGCATTTCCATGCTATCAGCTCTTCCTCGTTAACGCAAATAGGATGTCAGGGCTTTACAGTAAAACCGAGACCAGGGAGAAGAGTGCCATGAAAGATCATTTCAGGGTGACAAAATGACTTGATTCCTTTCCTGAATCTGAGCCTTCACTGGATGTCTCTCTCAACATTCACAGAGGAATTCTTGACTTCCTCGTGCAAAGGAGATTATCCTACAGTTGAAATTTCTTTTTAACCAGAAAGGCATTTTAGAAATGATGGGTAATTTTCAAACCTCACAGGAGTGTATAATTGGAAAAGGGAAGAGATGATCTTTTCATGGGATGGGTAGGAAAGGTTACTCAGAACAACGAGTGCTTATATTTAAAGCGATGTTGAAATTCTCAGCCTGGGTAAGTCTGGTTAGGGCCGAGTTAGTGAGTACTCTAGAAACAGATGAGATAGTTTGGGAGTGGTGATATGGAATTGGAAATTCTATTTTTCATTGACAAGAGTGAGTCACGTACAAATTTGGACCATAAGACAAAACTCAACCTATCCTCCTTTTTTCTGTAATTGCTGGAAAAGCGTTATTGATCATAAAAAGCGTTTTAGAAATACTTAAGAAAATACTCTTTTTTTTTTTTGCCAGACATCTAGAAAAGTACCAAAATCAAGGCACACAGCAATCTCTATTGCCTCCAATTATCCCTTCAATTTTACAATAGAAAGTCATTTGTTAATATCAGCACAACAAGCTCTAATTTAGGCACCGTGCTCTAAGGTTTACAGAACTCTTGCTTGAATTATCTCGATCCTCACACCAATCCTGCGAGGCCAGGAGGGTCTTACAGAAAGGAAAACCAATGATCAGAAGACTAAGTGACTTGTGCAACCCCTTTCTGGAAGTTAGGGACAGCCTCAGCTTTTAAACCTAACTCTGAATCTGGAGTTCTTCCTACTAGAGCAAACTGCTGCTTTGGTTGTAAAATTTTAAATAATAATAATTCATAGTAATAATAATCCCTTGCAACTGTAGAAAGCTTTACTGTTTACCAGGAATTTTAACATGCATTTTTTTCTTTCATTCACTCACTCAATAGTCACCGAGTGCCCACGAGGACACGCACTGTGGTGCAGGAAGGGTCAGAGACAGACAACCTTGTGCTGGGCACTCAGCATATGTTAGTTGCATGGAACTGCAATATTCAGGCAGCAACTCTGAAAAGGTGGCAGGATGAAGCTCCCCCCACCTTCAGCACCTGTCCTGCTTGTATGGCTGGGTGGCAGTGCTCGGGCTCTCCACCCATCCCACCTGAGCAGTGCCAACATAGGAGGCTATGCTCTTGACGCGAGAAGGCTCTGTCTTCCTTTTGACTGACACATAGGCCAGACACTTAGAAGGCAACCCTAACACTCCACGAAACCCCACCTGGCAACTGTGTCAAGTGAGGATTCAGACTAAATAACCTCCCTTACTTCTCAGCAAAACAGTCACGCGTCCCTTTGGCTTACACACAGCAGTCAAACAGCAGCCGTCAACACACAGTGCAGTTCAGTGCAAAGGGCATTAGTTTGGGAGCAAAGGGGTGTAGATGCTAATCAGTGGCTTTCATACTAACTCGCTGTGCGCCCTTGGCCAACTCACTTAGCCTCTCTGGGCCTCAGCTGTCCCATTTGTATAATAAGAGGAAGATGTTGGCCCTGCCTCCCTTGCAGCGCTGTTGTGAAGATAGAAATGCAGAATGATTAAGAAAAACTTTGTAGAACATAAAGAGCACGTGTTGCGGATTAAAATCCTTTGGGTGTTTATTACTATGTAACATACCACCAAATTCCAAATGGCCTGAACCTCCCAGACAGGCTCTAGAAAAAGAAGATAACAGCTGGGCTTTCTGGGTGGATTTAAATGGGGCTTACATGCCACCAGGCTGTGCCTCTCAAGTCCCTCTGGGACCTTGAACTTTGTGAACTGAAGGCCCACACTCCTGGTACACCGCCGCCTTCTAGAGATGATGGGGGTCTCACCAGCCCCAGGCACTCTGCCTGCCTTGCCATACAGCCGCTGAAAACGATGGCCACCACACACCATACACTCTCTACAATCTGTCACCCTGTGTGCGCCCATCAAATTCTTCAGTGACCAAAAAAAAAAAAAAAAAAATTCAGTGGATGGAACAGCCCCAGTTCAGAAATTCCCAGTCACACTGTTTTAGGGCTGAACTTGTTTCTTAAAAGGCAGTTCTAATTAGAGTGACATTTTGTCCACTGTGGTTCTTAGTTATGAAAATAATGAGCTATGAAATTCCAATTTATTGTTGACAACTTAAACGGCCAGGCACCGGAGCGGCGCGTAACTTCCGAGTGCCACTCTACCTAGTGACAAATCTATTCTGGGTCGTGGGAGGCTGCCGGCTGGGCCTGGGAGGATCCCTGTCCCCTTCAGTCTCCAGGGGCAATCTGGAGGGCTCACAGGCACTAGACTATGAGGACCAGGCATCTAGACATCTCCTCTGAGAAGGGCTCAGCACCTTGCCCTGAGAAGATTTCAAATAGCAAGCAAAATGTCGGCTCAGCAAAGATGTCTCAACAAAAACAAAGGAATGGCCTTCTTTTTCTCTCTCTCTCCCTCCATACAATGAAGAGGTTTCCCAAGGAGATATCTAAGATCCATCTGGCGCTCAGAGTCTGATACTGAGATAGTCTAAAATATTTTCCTTCTTTCGTTTTTTTCTTCATTTTCTTCCTATTTTTTTCTTCATTTCTCTATTTCTCTTTTTTAAGTCAATCTTTCTCTTTTCTCTATCTCCTTTCCCCTCTTTTCTTCTACTCTCGCTCTGATTCTCCATCCAAGAAAACCACCGTCTAACAAGAATACCACACCGATGTCGTGCCTTCCTCCTTGAACTCTGCCTGGGGCTCGTTTGTTGCCAAGTACTAACCAGGAGTGGAGCCCATGGCGTCCACGGCTTGCGGTGACCCAAGATAGGCAGGGGAACGAGGAATGACGCAGGGATCAAGATCCCTAAAGGGGCTGCCAGACCTCTGGCCCTGAAACTTCTTCCTTGGCCTCCAGCAAGGCTTCGCAAGGTTAAAAACTGTCGTTCCCTTCCATCTGAGAGAATTTCTTAAATTCCAGCAGATGGAAGGGAAAGAGCAAGCAGAATGTCACAATGTCACTGACAAACTTCAAAATATTTATTTCCTATTCAGGCATCTGTTCTCAAACCATAATGCAAGCTACAGGACAAAGGTTGTTCTCTGACCCGAGGAGAGAAATCCTGAGGGAGCATCGAACAGCTAAAATCCGAGACTGCTCCTGGCTGCTGGGGCAGACCTCTAACAACTTCACATGCCTGGAAATAAACCTGTGGCTTTGGTTTTGGGATATGGTGAGATGCGCATTGTCTGAGGGTCCTTAAGTCCTCTTCCCCACCCGGGAACTGACTGGCTGGCTGGACCTGGGTCAGCCACTATGCCGCTGTAGGCTTGTTTCCTCATCTCAAAACTGCTTTCCTCACCCGATTCAATGGGAATGCTAAAGGCTGTACAGCCCTCTGGGAGAATCAGCATTGTTAGCATTTTGCTTGCAGCAAATTGCTGGGTCAAGTGGCAACTTTCAAATGTCAAACTTGAGAGTTAGTGTTTGTTTGGATTTTTCCCCCTCTAATTTAATGTATACTTACGATGCCTGTCACAAGAAGGAAACAAAACATAGAAGGAAAATCCTGTAGCCCAACATAAGGATGATGATAACTCAAAACTGGAAATGACAGCCGACTTTATAAAATGGAATGTGCTTTTTGGAACCACTAAAATGAAGCACTGAACTCTGGTAATTTTGGTGATTTTTAACTTGTGGATTTCCTACCCAGCCCTGCTCAAGCCCTGGTCTCACCTAAGATGTGCAGGGGAAATTCCCAAGAACCTCTTACTCTTGGGTTCTTTGGAATAATTAACCAGGCTTTCAGAAAACATATCACCCCTCCTGCCTGAGTCCTCGTTCCACATGTCGCTGGGGTTTCCCAGGACTACTGTGAGTGGAATAGCCTCGAAAGGGCTTTGCAAACTCTAAAGTGCTGTGCATGTGGGTGTAAGTGATTCTCACTGTGACACAGGCACACTGGACAGCTGCTGGGTCATGTTTTAGGCTGTTATTTGAAAAATCAAGGGAAGCCTGGAGCTCCTGCCTTTACCTGCCAAGGATTTTGCTGACACAACCATGGCTGACCCGAAGCTGCCTGGAGATGTCGCAGGGCCTGACACCTTGATGAGCAAGTTCCACTATCCTTTGGCGGACTACATCCGGGAGTGGCCGTCCGTTCACAAAAACCCCCCCAAGCTGATTCACTCCTCCATGTCCTGAAATAGATCAGAAACAGAAAGCAAGGGAAAGGGTAGTTAGAACCAGTCACATAGAAGGTGAAATGCCGTAGCGACCACCCAGAGCCCCTCAGGCAGAAATGGCTGCAGACTGGATGTCTCAAGCCTGGGGTCTGACCATGCAGACTACATAAACACTTTAAATTGCTTTGTAAAATTAACCTTAACCTTTGTCAATCTTCAGCCAGTCAGTTGGGCTACTGAGGGCAATCATCTCCATACTATTTTTCCTTTAGTTACTAGCATTTTCCTTGTAATTCTTTTTTTAACAATGGAATATGTGAAGACCTCAGTCTATACTAGCAACACAACTTACTACATCCATGATGCTGAGGTCTAAGGAAAGCCTTGGGAGAAAATACATTTTAAAATACAGCAAATTTAAAGAGATTTTTAAAAATGAAACGCTTCTATTTAAAAAATGTCTTCAAAAGCAACAGGGACTACCCCATTAAACCTAGATATCAGGAGAAAAAAACGTTTTTTAGATCAGCAACCTGATTAAGGGCTACGTAGTTTTTAAAATTTTTAAATAGTATCTGCGTGGTACTGAGACAAAACCCAACCGCTGTCTTGACAAAAACACTTTCTTTAAGAAGGTGAGTCACATATCACAATAAAGCTGAAAAAAAAATAAACAAACAGAAAAGATGAGGCTGACGTGCAGATTTCACCGCTGCTCCCTCTAAGAGCACACAAAAGAAATGGAGCAGAAGATCACATGCCACTTTATTGCACTAGGATTTGCTATAGAGTTTTCCTAAAATTTTTCAAGTGTTTTGCAATTGACAAGCAGCTCTAAGTTTGTGCAGGGGAAATAAGAAGCTGAACAAGGCTTTTGAGTCCCAGGTTTTACAAAGGCTCTGTGACAAATTTTTTAAGTAAAAACAGTCTGGGAAAGAATCTCCTCTGCCCAATAAGCTTACTTCTCTTACATGTAGATCCATCTGGAGGGAAACAGTAAACACAGGGGGTAGCAACATTATTGACTTTGTAGCTATGAATCAGCCACTGACAACACTGAAGACTGTCAAAAGCCAAAAGCCAAGTTCAAGCATTTACCAGTGCTGTTGGCAGCTCAGAGGCTGGGAGGGGGGTGATAATCTACACTGGGACTTGCCTGGGACTAGACTGTACCATGGAAGCCAGGGCATCTCAGAGGTCACACACACACACACACACACACACACACACACACACACACATCTCTCTCTCTCTCTCTCTCATCTCTCTCTCTAACTCTAAAACATAAAATCGCCACCTCATCTCAGTTCTCCACCCCTTCCCCAGCTCTCAACTACTATCCAGGTTCATGCACATCTGACATGGAGGAGGGAAAGGTCCCCATCACATAACTTATATCCTAAAAACTGCCAAACCAATTCATAAAGTTTCCTAGGAGAGTCCAAATTGAACGTATCCCCAAATTTCCAACATCAGGCTCATTTCAAGGAAAAAACACAATGTTATAGATAACAACAGTACTTCTCGTTCTAAGCTGAATTTCTCTCTGATTTTCAAAATGAGCATTAATTGGTTTTGATTGTTCTAAAATTCTTCACGCATAAGAAAAGGAAAACCATCCCAAACAAGATTTTGCAATTAGAAACATGATTGCATAGTTCACCTAAAACTGAAGGGCTGCAGCCACCCTTGGTCACAGGCCTTAAGAAGGCTTTGTTCTGGGGTTGAGAGCACCTAATAAAAAAAAAGCCTGTATTGATCTTTCAAGAGCAGGCTGGATTTAAGAAGAAAGTAAATTCAAAATTGGTACAAGCTCATCTGAAAGGACAAAAAGGAAGCTAAAAGCACCCAGCATACTTCTTGAGATAACCTGTTAGTCCAGGCATTGTAGCCCATCTGCAAGGGCCTGTTCCCTGTATCACTGGCAATTTAAACTTTCTGCCCAAAACACAATGCCAACCTTCAGAGGACTCAAATTTCAAGAGCAGTCCTCTAGGACATATGTGAGCTTCGGGGACCATTTGTATCATGGACATTCTAGGTGACAGCAAGCCATCCTATATTTTTGCCCACAAAGACTAGGCTACCAATACTCTTCCAGGGTCTGAGGCACATGTCCATAGCTGACAGAAGACCCAGAGTGACCAGGCACCCCCTGGAAAGGCCCCCAAACCCACTTGGCGCTCTTTGCCTCAGTCACAGTCTTATCCAATAAAGCATTTTGAAGCTGGTAGGGAGGTGATTTACAACTGTGATCTGAGAGGGCAATGTCTGCCACTTACCCTGAGACTAAAAAGAAGTAAAACTAGATGGCTGAGAGAGGAGAGGCAGAATGGGAGAAGAAAAAAAGGAAAGTGAGGTGTAAGGGTAAGCATGCAAAGAGTGGGACAAAATGAGACAAACAGCAAAAAAAGAGAGACAAGACTGGAAGGGAAGCCTCAAGTTAGAAAGGCAGAGGAGGGAAAAAAGGAATGGATTAGCCAGAACAGGTGAAGAACAGAAAGGTGAGTGTGGGGCGCAGAGGAAGGCCAGGAGACCAGAAGAGAAAATGGAGGAAGCCCAGTATGGGCGAAGCTGGAGGTCAGGGGACTGGTGGAGGGGACCTTTGTTTTCTGGAGCCTCAGGCCGAGCCCTGCAGGTCCTCAGAGAACGTAAGTCCAGCCTCCACTTCCTGTGGATTCCAGCTGGGTAACGGGTTTATCCCGTGGGGGTGCTGCGGGGAGAGACATACTCAGCTACACTTTTCAGGGCCAACTAGAATTTACAGAGAGACTGACACAAAGATAGATGGAAACAAATTAAGGCAAAGACCAGGAAACAGACACACAGATAGGAGGGAAACAGCCCTGCCCCCACAGGACTGACAGAAAAGGGTTTGGGTGGGGGTGGTGGCAGAGGGAGAAAGGCTGAATTGCAGATGCCCCTGGGGCCTTTGTGGCTCTGGTCTGGGAGGGCCAGCCTCCACAGATGCTCCTCAAGCCCTGATAAGAACATGCTGCCCACATGGCTGGCCAGAGGGTCTTAGAGAGAGGGTCTCTGCTCAGTCGCAGTTTGAATTCCAGGGCTTTCAGGGTCATTGAAATTTCTCCTAGTGATACCCAAGAGGATGAATGAAGAGACACACAGACATGCCAAAAGGGACACAGGGAAGAGTAGAGAGGAAATTTCGTTAATGCATTCTCTAAATGCCAGGCAGATTCTGACACACATTGACAGTCAGGCTATAGATACAGATATAGTTAAATCAGGCCCAGCACCTTGCACGTGTGTATACCCACCCAGGCAGTCCACTCTCCTCTTTCTGGAACCTAACTCCCTCTCCCTCTTCCTCTGTGAATCCTTGAAGACCCAAGAACCAGCTCCAGGTTTGCTCACGTGAACTTCCTGTCAATCCTTTTGTCTCTCTGACCTCAGTATCATACTCCATAAAATGGGTGTAACTAAAGGTTTAGACAAACCTCAGGTAGGAAACTGGTTATAAAAGTGCTTTATACATGGTAGCCATACTTGAGGGAGGGAAACATCTGGAGAGGGAGGCAGGAGACATTGTGCTGAACAAAGTGATGAGTCTGGAATAGGGGGTGGGAGCAGGGAAACTCAGAAGCCCATTTCCTGGCAGTGCCTGGCCCTGCCCCGTCCCCCACAGAAAGCTGCCCTGTTCCAATGGGGGAAGGGGAGTAAGAGCATGAAACTCACTTGGCCAAAAAGGGTGATGAGGAGGTGAGACTTGGTTTGAGCCCCTACTACTCCAGAGACCTCTAACGATCTACTGAGCACCCTACTCCCCACCTCCAATCACCAAGAAACCGAGGCCCCATAGTGGGCCTACACTGTGCAAGCAAATAGCGTTGGACGTCAGAACCAAGGGCACTTTCAGAGAAGCCAGCTCGGGAAGCTACGCTGGCTGGGGCCCAACCCCCACCGTGCTGCCCAGAGGCTGCAAACAGGAGAAGGGAGTACTTCTCGAGGAGGGGGCAGATGAAGGCCAGGACAAGAAGGGACAGAGACACGGTCATTAGCGGTTGGCTAACAGCACCTGTAAGTAGCTGCCTCCTCCATCCTCATGCACAGCTGAGAGACCACCGGGTCTGACGCTGTCTCCCCAGGGCTTTGCAAGACCTCTGGGGCGCCCCTCTGCGCAAAAGGAAGCAGTGAGGGTCTGTTGATTCCTCCCCCACGGCGAGAAGAGAAGCGCTGGGGCCAGCCCGCCCCATTCTGTCCCCGAATAGCTCCTTGGCTGAGCTATGAGCTTGCCTACCTCTCAGAGTATTGACCCCAACTCGTTTGTGTTCTGGCTCACTCTGCGAGATCAGAGCCTCCCTCGAGCTTGGCTCAAGTGTGCGCAGGAGCCGGCTGTGGGGGCGCTGGGGTCACCACAGACTGGAAACCTTTTTGGCACAGGCCCCAAACGATGAGGAATCGTTCGGGCTGGGACCGGAGCAAGCGGCTTCTCTGTACAAACCTCCGCACGGCTTGAGTGGATTACCTCCGACTCAGGAAATTGACACAAAGAGAAACTGACCTGCGGGCAGTCAGCCCCAGCCGCCTAGATCAGCATTTCTCTTCCTACCAGGCCACTCGGCCCTCCGGGTAAAAAAGGACAAATTAGCCCAGGGAAGCTCGCCTTCTCTCCAGCCGGGTCTCCGCTGCCTTTGTTAAATAGGGGACCCACGGCTGGTAAGCAGGATTCTGGGCTGTCTGAGAAGCTGGCTTGGGGGCGGCTCCCGCCCAGGGAGCAACCCTAAGACCCAAGACTGGTGGGGATCCAAGCTGGGCACCCGGCTGGGTGCCGCCAAAGCCTGGCGCCTTGTTCCGGCCCAGCTCTGCAGCGCGCAGAGGGGAAACGCGATTCGTTCCACTTGGTATTTCCTTGAAATCTCCGAATCTAATCCGGCGCTAACTCACCGTGAGAGGAACGCGCATCTCACAGGAGGCTGTGCTAAAGAGGGAACTGGCAGATCCGGGCGGGTCAGGCCGCGGGTCCCTGCCCGCGTCGCTCGCGCCCAAAATGACCCTTCCCGTCTCCTACACACGCGGCGTCTTTCAGAAGGCGGGGACGCCTGTATGGTGACTAATTGGCTTCGTCTTCTTGATTTTTTTTAGGGTATAAGCCATCATAAGGCAAGCATCCTGCAGGGAAGGACTTGAAGGTGTCTTTAAGGGTATGTGTACGAACTGGCGGCTTCTACGCAGAAGCTCAGCTCAGGGACCTCTACTTGGTTGATTTTTCAAATCCCACTCCTCAACTCCAGACGCTTCGGGAGCTCTGGACACGGTGTCTCACTTATCTTTCAACCTCCTCCTTCACACACAGAAGCACAAAGGCACTGGCTGGGGACCCACTTTCCCTCCAAGCCCTTGTCTTGATTAGCCCCACTGCTGAAAAAGGCGCTATCGGGGTTTGGGTGTGGGGCGCTGAGCCTCAGACTGACCTTTCACTACAACTTCGTGCCCTCCAACTAGTCCAGTCGGAGCCCTCTCCAGGTCCCAGTCTGGCTTCTCCCGGCACGCTGAGATGTCGCTGCCAGAGCCCCCGAAAGGCTGCAGGAAAGGCTGCAGCTTGCTGCCTACGTTACGCGTTGGTGGAGGCGGGATTCCCGATGCCAGGTACTCCGAGCCCAAGCGACCAGGCACTTTGTTCCACATCCCTGCCTGGGAGCCCTGCACTTTGCAAACTTGACTGCACAGCTGCAGAAGTCCTGAGTCCTACCGGCCTTAATACCTGCCCCGCAGTCCGGCACCCCCAACCCCGTCCCGGCCGGAGAGTGAGAGAAGCGAGCTCGCCGCCTACTTACTATGCATGGATGCAAACGGGTCGTGCTTACAGTGTATTTCCATCGGGGCGCTCCAGACTGCAGGCCGGCCCACGCCGCCGCCTCCCGGCGCCAAGGGGCAGCCCAGCGCGGCTAAGGAGCCGCGCTGCCAGGCCGGGCACCGTGCGAGCTGGGCTCAGAAAACACTGCTGGAGCCTCGGGGCTTCTCTCAGAGCCGCCCTGCCGGAGATCGCCGAGATCTGCGCCTACAGGCGGGAAACCGCGCTAGTGCAGTCCGGCTGGATGCCGGGCGCCCAACTCCTGGTGGCTTCTCTCCCGGGCTGGCTCAGGCGGCGGCTCCGGACACGACTCGGAGTAGCTTCTGCCAAGGCGCCTGTAGCCTCGGGGGCATAGCTCAGGGGCCCGCCTCCGGGACGGCTAGGCGCCCCTGACCTCCGGTAGGAGCGGCTTTGAGGAGGCCTGCCGGACACCCGGCCCTTGGCTTTACTCAGGGGGTGGCGAGGCCCGCGTGCTGCCAGGCTGGTTCCGCGGCCTCGCTGCCTCTTGGAGTCTCTCCTCGACTTCTCGGTCTCCACCGGATCCTTTTCCTCTCCGCTTCTCTGAGTCTCTGGGACTCGGACTTTTGTTGCTTCAGCCTCTTTCTAGCCGGCTCTCCGACGTCTCGGACGAAGTTGCAAAGAACTTCCTCTCTGGCGGTGCTGGGGCCCAGGCGACTTCGCAGACGTTCCCGCCACGGACGTTGGGGCTGAGACTCCGGAGTCCCCGGGAGCTTGTAGCCTTCATACCCTGGGACCCGCTCGCTGCCTTCAAAGTTCCCGCGGCTCCCGCTGCTCCCCCATCGCTGGGGCCAGGAAAAGGGACAACAGCGACAGTGTCCTACACGCCTGAGTATCTGCCTCACGCCCACCAACTCTTGGAGCCCCGCCGCCCTCTCTCGGAGGTCTGGTTCTACTGTCTTTCAGTTGCCTCTTCCGGGACGGCCGCCGTGCTTGCCCCAGGCATGGAGGGAGGGACAGAAGAGAGAAAAAGGTCCCCTCCACCAAGGCCGCCGGGACTACTGGTGCTGAAATGGAGCCGCTGTCGGCTTTGCCGGCGCTTCCGCCGCCGGCGCTAGCCCTCCGCCTGCTCGGCGCGCACAGTGCGCCACCGCGCCACCCCGGAGCCGCTTTCAGGACCCGCTGCGTGTGGACAGCGCCGCCCGGGGCTCAGCCTCCCTCCGGGCGGGGGCGGGGGCGGGGCGGGGGCTAACATGCCAATCACGTTTCATCGAGCCAATCAGAGCGGTGGCTGCCAGCCCTGGACCGAAACACCAACCCATTGGCTGAACAACCAGCGGGCTCCGCCTAATTAGCGGATACCTGGGCAATGGGAGAGAATAGGAGGCGGGGCCCTGACGGCGGCGCCACGTTCATTGACAAACCCGCGGCGCGAAGGCCTAGTGAAGCAAGGGTGGACGGAGGGGGGAGGGGATCCACCTAGTGCCCGGAGCGTCCCGCGGCACATCCCCAGGGAGCCTGGCCTATCCGCTGCGGCGATGAGACCCTGGGATGTCCTGAAGGACTGGCGACAGCCAATGCAAAGGTGGGGAGTGAAGGTGGAAGACACAGTCTCCAGAAAACACACACACAACGAATGTTGGAGAAAGACAAGAAGAGCAATAGAGACCCAGCTTTCAATCTTGCTAAGGACTCGTAGTGTGTGCACATCTGCCCCCTTCTCAGTTTCTTCATCTGTAAAATGGGCAGAGTTGGCTTATTTAGTCTTTAATGAAGGCTCCTTCCAGTGTAAATATTTCATAATTGTATCAAACCCCTGCTAAGCTGCGGTCTCTTCGTCCACCCCTCTCCCTCTTTTTACCCCACGGTCCCCAATTCTGAGATAACCGAGAGGCAGAGACTTTGAGGTGAAAGAAATCTCACATGCTTTTAAGGTTGGTAGCCAGGGTGCTCCTGAGGGAAGGAGGCTATCTGAGGCTTTGGATCAGATCGCCCGACCACTGAGCCCTGAATACGTCTTTCCGGCCTCAGACCAAGAGCTGCCAGACACTTCGGGGGCTAGCGAAATGCGGAGCTCGAGGTTTCTCTCCAGAGGGGCAATTCCGCATCGGGTGCAAGTCCTCTTGTGAACTGAATGAACCCAGTCCTGACCAGTGCTAATGAAGGTCCCTGAAATGGGTCAGCGTGTTCTATCTGCAAGGGCCGTACCAAACCATGTCAGACGTGCTACCATGCTGTGGCTATTAGCTGTTGAGAAAACCTGACCTTCCCTCTCCTGGGGAAGTTCTTGTTGCTTTTAAGATAAAATGGGTGGAATTTGTAACAAAACCCTCCTGGTCCAGAAGGGCAGGCCTTTGACCAACGAGTCTCAGTTTCTCAGTGGTGTGTGAGAACCTGGGACCAAAATCTAAGGAACTAGACTTTCAAAAAAAAAAAAAAAAAAAAAAAAAAAAAAGCATGTGACAACCAGTCTATTCCCACGAGGCAATAGTTCTGTGAGCACTTATGTCTGCCAGGGTCCTAGCAGAGACGATGAAGACTCTCGTTCTCAAGGGAGAGGCTTCAAGTCCCACTATTTTCAATTCATAAGCCATGACCCTCTAATATTAAAAATAAACCCACCAGAACAAGGACTCTGAGATGCCCTCTGTAGAACTCGGCCACTAGGGAGGACAGAGCACATGCTGACCTGGGAAGGCTCCCAGGTCATTCTCTGCTTCAGTCCTCCCTCTCTCTACCTTTGCCTCATTTCTCACACCCCTACACTGGGTCGGTCCCCTGGCCCACTTTCTTTCTGTTCCTGGCCCAGACCCAGCTGCCCCTGAACGAGTAGTTAAGTTTCCGGCGCTGACCCGTCCCCACCCCCTCCAGGGCACAGCTGCGGAAAACGGCCTCAGGCGAGCCTCTGGGGCCCCAGAGATGGGGTAGCGGCGTGATCTCTTCTTTGTCTGGAACCGTGCCTGTCCGAAACGCCCCCCCACCCCCGGCCCCGCCTTGTAGCAGTAAGATCGCAACAGGGAAGAGAGACCAGGATGAGTTAGGGTTTCCGCTTTCGCTCCACCGGTGGCGCGCGGTGGATCGAAAGGGACTAGATTTCAACCAGGCGGCTCTGCATTCCCATCTGAGGGGGGAGGGCGCGGGCTGGGGTCTTCTGGAGATACGCAGCAAGTGACAGATCCACCTCCAGCCTCGCTCATTGAGTTCGGGCTTGGAATCTCATATTGTAAGGTTTTTGAGCTACAAGGGCCCTGAGGCTATGCTTTCCCCATTTTACAGATGTGCCAAGTGAGGCTGAGTCGGAATGAAACTTGTCCAAGGTCACATAGCAAGTCCAGGCTAGAGTAAAGGCCGTGGGCCGGGGACCTCTTTCTCAGAAGGGTCTCTCCAGAGTCGCTCTCGGGATGACAAGGCGTCTGGGGATGGGAGTGCGGGTACCATACCAAAAAAAAAAAAAAAAAAAAAAAAAAAAACCCTGGCAAACGGTGTTCCATCCCATACTTGTGAGGCTTGGACAGAGTCCCCGGAGCGCTGCCGGGGTAGGATGGGAGTGCGGGTACCATACCAAAAAAAAAAAAAAAAAAAAAAAAAAAAAGAACCCTGGCAAACGGTGTTCCATCCCATACTTGTGAGGCTTGGACAGAGTCCCCGGAGCGCTGCCGGGGTAGGATGGAACTGCAGATGCTAACGGAACAAAAATAGTTCAGATTCCCATTTCACACAGGTGTTCTGCTTCAGGACCGTGTCTTAGGCGAGAGCATCCCTCTCCGCACTGTGCGCTGCGCAGGTCGGAGGGAGCCTCCCTCTGGCTCGGGGGTAATTCACCGCCTTGGAATGGGCGGGCATCCGGGAACTTCTAACGCCAGACCTGGCATCCTGGCCACCATGCCCAACCTTACAGGCCACTGAACGGCGGCCCAGAGAGGTTGCGAAACCGTTCTCAGATAACACAGGATTTCATGCCCAAGCCAGGCTTCCGCGCCTCAGTCCGGCCTCCGAAAACTCAGGAGCCCAGGAGTCTGGATACAGGAGAGGGACAAGTAGGGAGTTGGTCTCAACGCTGAAGGTGTTAGGGCCTTGCTCTGCACAATTGTCTCGTGGTTTCGTTCCCTCGGCAGGAGGACTTGGGCCCAGCTCTGTGCTAAGTGCTGGAGGCAGAAGGCCAGGGAACGAAACCTTCCAGGAAGAAACCCAATTTATGTAAATCGAATTGCCTTTGAAAGTTTTGCTATTGAAAGAAAGCCCATTGGGAATAATTGGAGAAGCCGACACACCTTCAGAGAAACGTCCACCTGGGTCCTCAGCTAGAAAACTTGGCTTCACTCAAACACACTCTCTCCCTCCTCCCCTCTCTCTCTCCCACTGCCAGCCCCTCCAGCGCCCGGCGGCGTCGGGAGATTGGGGCCGCTATAGCGCTCGATGGGCCTGAGATTGACTCACGCAGCCCTAGTCCTACCCGTTTCCCTGCTCTTGCTTCCGGCAAAGCGACGCCCACGGGACTCGAATTGGTTGCTCACTTGGGGAAAGTGAGAGATGATGCGGTCATCGCTGTCCTAACTTGGTGTGTCCTCTCTAACCCTCGTTTTAAAAACATCGAAGAGGGAGAGCAACGGACCCAAGGTTACACAGGTAGTGAGGTTAGAGCTGAGTCCAGCTTCTGTGTCAGGAGTCTGCTCTGCCTGGCACAGATCTGTCTGTAGGAATTGTTGAAGTGAGTGAAAAAAGGGGGAGAATTTAACCAGATTTTTCAAGAACAATGCCAAGTGTCTTCATCAGGGTTTGTTTTCATTATTAGCACAACTCAGAGGGCAAGGTCTCTGGGGCTATCTTCCTCTCTGTCTAAAGAATTTAGGCAGGGGGGTCCTTCTCCTAGGACTCA